CCCGCCCAGCCGGCCTCCCGCTAAGCCGGGAGCCCGCGCCCAGCCCGCCCAGCCGGCCTCCCGCTAAGCCGGGAGCCCGCGCCCAGCGCCGCAGCCCGCTTACCGCATGAACACGTTGGGATACTGGTTGCGCTGGAACAAGCTCTCCAGCTCGCGCAGCTGCAGCCGGCTGAACATGAAGCGCCGGGCCTGGGGCGGCGGCCCCCCCTGCTGAGGCTGGCCCTCCGGCCCCTCCGGCCCCGGCTGCCCTGGCCCAGGCGGTGGACATTCTGCGGCGCCGTGGCCGTCCGCCTCCTCGCCGACGCCATCGCCATTGCCGACGCCATCACCGTCGCCGACGGCTTCGCCGTCCGCTTCCTCCTCGACTTCAGCGGCTGCAGGGTCCTGCTCGGGTGCGGCCTCGGCCCCCGCTTCCGCCGCCGCTCCGTCTCCGGTGTCTCCCGTGTCCGCGGTAAGCGACATCGCCACAGGCTGGGTTTCTGCAAAGGAGGAGATCCAGACAGAAAGATCAGGGCATCAGAGCCCAGGCTGTGGGAAGGAGGGCGCGAGGGGCAGCATCTGCGGGGTGTCGGGACCGCCCCCCTCGCCCAGGGAACGTTGGTTTCTGGGGCTTGCGGCAGGCGCCTGTCCCAACGGTCACCGACCCTGCGGCTCTTCCCGGTCCTCGTCGACTTCCAGGCGGAGGAAGCCGGTGTCATCGTCCTGGCCTGGGCCGGGAGGCTCCATATCCCTGGTGCTGTCTTCTGGACATGCCCCGTCGGATCCTTCTGGATCCATGGGTGACGCCGCGGAGAGCGGTGGCCTGCCGACGGGCTCCCGCAAAGCGGTCCTGGCGTTGTCACGTTCCCGAGTGTCTGGGTAGACGCCCCCTTTATATATACCACCCGCTGCGGGGGGTTGGGCTCGCGGGGGGTTGGGCGCATGCGGCCTGGGCTTGGCCACCAACCAGGCGGGTGCACTTGCAAGGGGAGCTCAGGTAGGGCGCACTTGCCCGAAGGCATCGGAGCCGGCAATGCCTAGCTAGAGAGGCTGAGTCTTCAAGTCGGAGCTGGGCTCGCACGCCCCGACCTGGTGGCCTGTCTCCCCCACAGGAAGGCGCTGTGCTGTATGGCGCAAGCCCGTGTGGGTAGGGTAAGACACAGACGTCACCCTAGCTCTGGAGACCCTGCCCAAGGGTTGGGAGAATGTCTCTTGGGCCAGCCCTGCGAATCCAGCCGCCGCGGCTAGGCAGGGAATAGTAATGCAAGGAAAGTGATGGACCCCGAGGTGGCCGTCTGAGGTTTTTCCGGGAGGCGGCTCACGTCAGAGCCCGCCAGACCCCCAGACCCCCAGACCCCTGGGTCCCCGGGAACAGGAGCTTGGCCTGGGGTCTTCTGAGCGCGCCTGTTGCTCAGATGCACTCTGCAAATAAAACCACGCTTGCCCCTTGAGAGTGTCCTGTGCCTCCGGGATTTTATGGATTTTTTTTTTAAGATTTTCTTTCTTTCTTTAATTGACAGACACACAGAGAGAGAGAGACAGCGAGAGAGGGAACACACAAGTGGGAGAGGGAGAAGCAGGCTTCCCGCTGAGCGGAGAGCCCGATGCGGGCTCGATCCCAGGACCCTGGGATCATGACCTGAGCTGAAGGCAGTCGCTTAACCGACTGAGCCACCCAGGCGCCCCCTGTGCCTCCGGGATTTTAGTAATGAAGCCACATCTCAGTACAGGGCTGCGAACCTGCACAGGGCTTAGAGCGTTCCAGGTCGGCTTCAACTGGACAGAGCTCCTGCTCGCTTGGGTTTTTTCAGTTTTTCTTTTTCCAAGTTTTGTTCCTCTCATTGCAACCATGGATCTTGAAACACCTTTGGGCACAGCGTCTATGCCTCTGCCTCGAGATTCTCTATACAAGCATGCATGTCCCTTAGGGTGGGACCCTTTGGATCTGGGTCATCACCCACTTTCCCGCCGCTCTTTCTCCACCCCCCCCACCTCCTCCCCTCGGCTTTCTTAGAAATGGCTTTCTGAGCCCTTGCTGAGGAATAAATAAATTTCATTTCTTTGTTGTTTTCTTTTTCGTTTCCTTTCTTATTCTTGTTTCTTGCAGCGGGGGATACATTCTTATTGGTTGGAGAGCTGAGTTTAAGCAGGTGTTTGGTTTCTCCAGGTGAGTACGATAAAGGGACAAGGGCCAAGAGATTTGGGGTATAGCAAGGAATCGATGATAAAGAGTGGCTATATGGTTTGTCCCAATTCAGTAAATGTAAGGTGTTGTGCATTCTTTTGTCTGTAAATTTTACATCCAAAGAAGAAAACCCTAAGCAAATACTGAACTCAACCTGATGGTATGCATGCTTCTTTCTTGTCCAATACAAGAGAGCGGGCCGGATTGAGGGCTCTGCGGATTTCCCTTCCAGAACTGTTTTATAGATGCTCCGGCACTTGTTAATATCCTAAGTATTGAAAATAGCTTCTAAGAACGGGTCCTGTGCAGGACAGTGTACCTGACTTAGCCCATGTTTACCGTGCTCAGCCGCCCCGTTTGAAATCCGGAGCTACAGCATTTCTGCGGGCTCCTAAATGCAGCATGGGTCCTAGGCAGCTCACCGACTGCGCCTGACGGAGGGAGGTGCCCCGGCCTCGTGCTCGCAGAGGACGGGTAAGACACTGAGAAAGGTCTGTGGACCGATTCGTTTTCACAGAGCTGGTAAGGGGTGACAGTGGGACTACCTCCTCCTGACTTGAGCCAGATGTTTCCTCCTCCGGCAGGCCCTTGGTGAGTGCGGCCGGCCCGCCCCAGCCCCTTGGCCAGATAGCCCAGGCACAGTTTTGACTTGAGGTTAAGTATCGCGTGAGAGCCCTACAAGGGTTGTCGTCATGTGCGTTGTTAGAGCACCTCCAGTATCTGCGTGTTCTTTCCTGTGTCCGATCTCCGCGGAGCAGTCCAGCTTGCTCTACCTCAGCCACTCACGTGACCCTTGACAGATCTCGCCCTACCTGGGCCCCAGTCGTGCTAGCATTCACTGAGCATGTTTCCTTCCCTACCTTCACACTTTGCACACCTTAGCAACCGAACGGAGCCTCGTCCTCGGCAAAAGTAGCCCCGAATCATGGTTCCACGTGCCACATCCACGGGAGGGGGCTCTGGAGCCAGAGGGCTGCCACCTGCATCCGGCTTGCTCACCCCTTGCGAGCTGGCTGGCCTGCTGAGTTGCTTATTCTCACTTTAGCCTGGTCTCCTCATCTGCAAGAGGAGGCTAGCAGTAGCCACTACCTACCAGGGTGCTGCCGGAGTAACTGAGATGAGAAAAATACACTGCTACCGAGGGCCCTACCGTGCGGCCTCACGTCTCCGATTTCAGTCCGTTTTGTGTTTCTTTATTCACAGGGGCCCATGAGGGAAGAGAGGCGAGGGTTATTCACTCACAGCTGGCCTGGGGACAGAAAGTTGTCTTGGGACTCTAAGGTCTCTAGCCCTACCTGTCCTTTGGGTCCTTTTCTCCCTCTTTTTTGGTTTTTTGTTTTCTTGTTTGTTTGTTTGTTTGTTTTTTTAAGTAATCTCTAGACCCCGTGTGGGGCTGGGACCGCTGACTCCAAGATCGAGAGTCACACGCTCCACCATCTGAGCCAGCCAGGCTCCCCCCTGCATGCCTCTTTGTGCCTACACAGACTTCGGTCAGTAAAGCTTTGTCGGCTGCTGTGTTTACAGGGCCCTCTGCCAGGCAGTGCGGGGCAGGTCTCCGGTCCAGACTCAGCCATCCTCGTGCCCTGGTTCTCCCGGTCTGGGGAGACAGATCAGCCCACGTGAGAGAAAGAAGCTGGAAATGATGGAGTCCCAGCACCACTCAGTGGCTCTGTGGCCCAGGTAAATCAGCTGATCTCTGTGCCTCCCAGGCCAGCTCTGCAGAATGGGGATCGTGATGCTCCCTGCTCTCCCGAGCTGTGACTTTTACTCGAAGTGATGCAAGTAAGGTCCGGGGGGCGGGGGGGCTCAGACAAGTGGAGCCGATGCTGGAGTTAAGGGGTCAGGACTGAGTGGGGTCAGGCTGGACATGGGCCCTCACTGTGATCGAAGGTGCGGACAGGGTGCCTCGCCCCTGCTCCTGAGCAGATGGGAGAGCCTGTGGAGTGAAGGGAGCTCTGCTTGCTCGGGCCGGTGCCCTCCCGGGAGTGCTCGCCGTGCACCAGGGCCTGGCTCGTCCACCTTACCGCTGTCCCTTGTGCGTGACGGGGCGCTGCGGCCCCCCCCCCACCCAGGGCGGTGGAGGCATCACTGTTTTGTTTTGTTTTGTTTTTAAGATTTTATTTATTTATTTGAGAGAGAGAATGAGAGAGAGAGAGAGCACATGAGAGGGGGAGGGTCAGAGGGAGAAGCAGACTCCCTGCTGAGCAGAGAGCCTGATGCGGGACTTGATCCTGGGACTCCAGGATCGTGACCTGAGCCGAAGGCAGTCGCTTAACCAACTGAGCCACCCAGGCGCCCGGCATCACTGTTTTTTGCTTCTTCCTTAACCAAGGCCATGGAGGCTTGGAGAGGTTCGGTGACTTTGACCAGGTGACACAGCTTGCTGGGGGCGGCGGGGGGGGGGGCAGGATCCAAAGCTCCGAAGAGACTGTTCCTAGCAGCCCCTGGTCGAAGGCGATTTGGCTTCTGGGGAGTTGTGGGCTTTCCCTTCCTCCTCAGAGGGAGTCAGAGGTGGGTGCAGGCTAAGCAGGCTGTGCGTGGATCTTCAGGTGAAGGGGTAGTGTGAGCAACCCCGGGAGGGAGGGAAGTCTAAGGCTTGTCTCAGGGAACCCAGACACAGCCAGGGGGCTCTGGAGTGTGAGCTGGAGAGGAAGCTAGAGAGGAGTCTGCAGAGAACTCTGTATTGAGGGGCCAATAAAGTTTAAATGTTAGGTGGGGGCTGAGTTCAAGGAAGGCGTTGGAATGTGTATGTTTGGGATGATGGAAACTGAAAGAGGTTTAGGCTTGGGGGGGGTGGCACCTTCATGAAAGCAGTGTTTTAGGATGAGTTTCTGGGGGGGAGTGTCAGCCGGCTCTTGGTTCCGTTCATTGCAGTTAGTGGGCGTGGGGAGCAAGGTCCAGAGCCTGAGTCCTCACTTGGAGGCCACGGCTGTCCACCAGGTATGTCGTGAGTCCCCTGGAATTGGAACGCAAAATTCCGTGTGTGGTGGCATTGCAGTAATGTGGGCGCCTTTCATCAACTAGAGGGGGGACAGTGCCCCTAACCACCCCCTCCCACCTTAAGAAATATCACAGAAAAGACCAGGGAATTGAGTAGAACGCGGGCTGTGGACTTGGCCACATGCATCTGGTTTCAGGGCACAGCCTGGTTCTTCTTCTTTCCTGCTTTCTGCTCATTGCATGACAGGGGCAAGCCTGACTGTCTCTACACCTCCGTTTCCCCCAAGGGAAATAGGGCAACGACCACTATTCCTACCACTGCTCACTCAAATAATGATAATCATCTCACAGAATTCTTATGAAGTCAGAATGAAGTATGGAAAGATGGTTTCCTTTTCTCTCTCCTTCCTTTTGTCCTTCAGCCTCTCTCTCTCCCTCCCTCCTCCCTTCATCTCTCCCTCCCTCCTTTCTTCCTTCCCTCCCTTCCACTCTCCCTTCTTCCCTCTCTTCCTCTTCCCTCCTTTCTCCTTCTCTCCCTCCTCCCTCCCTCTCTGTCCCTTCTCCCTCCCTTCTACCCTCCCTTTCCCTACCTCCTTACTTCTCCTTCCATCTTCCCACTTCCTCCTTCCCTCACTCCATCCCTCCTTGTCTCTCTTCTTTCCCTCCCTGTCTTTCCTCCCTCCTCTCTCCCTCCTTCCTACCCTTCCTCCTGCCTCTTCCCTTCTCTCCCTC